AGATTGACTCCTGCAGACAATCTCTTGCTTCACTCACTTTTTGGACAATTGCGCCTGTAATTTGGGAGAAAAGAGTTTTAATAACTGCCAACGGTTGTCAATTTAAAATTAAATTTGACAGGATATTTTTAATTTACCTCTTCGGCGCTCATAAATTTTCCGACTGCGGAAAAATTGCGGGCGATGAAGAGGGAGGAAATTCCCGCTAAAACAGGCCGGAAGGTGAGATGCATTAGCCGCGGGGATTGAGGAATCTCTCCTCAACACTGCAGCCGAGCTCATCTCCGTGTCATTGGTGTGAATTATAGCGAAATTGCTGCTATTATTATTATTTCAAGATACACCGTGTTGTCTTGAAGCTGTTAAAATAATAAATGGCCTAGAGGAATACGGTGTCTCTCGCTCGAATGAGGGCGCACCAGGAATATAATGTCACTGACGAAGTATTTATTGCCACCCTTCTAAGCGCCTCGCCACCCCCACGATTATGGCGCATTCTCGACCTGATGACGCAGGTGAGAGATCACAGTGTCTGCCGAGGAGGCTTCTTAAGCTGCTCAGCAAACAGAACAAAGATTTCCACTCTATTTTCCATACACTCCACGAAGATGTGTAAAGGCAAAAAATGCAAATCAAGCGAAAATATCAGCCAGAGAAGTTTTTCTTTTGCAAAGAAAAACACTCACCGAATTGTAATTATTTCTCAAAATCCTTGGGCTTAAGTGATTCTTTGCTTTTTTAGCGATACTCTCGTGGATATTGAACATCTTCGCACCAATCAGCCAGAATCGTATTCTTACCCTTAAAATCAAGGGGGAGATAATATATTAAGAAGTGGAAGTGTTCAAAAGCTTACAATATTCCTTTCTTGTGTTTTTCTTTTACTATCAAAATATCCCTTATTTTTTGGACTTCTTTTGATTGTTTACGTGGAAACTATCAAAATAATCCTTTTCTATAAATTTTCTAAATAATTCACATTTTAGCACAAAAATTCTTATGCTCTAGTCGGAAAGATTGCATATTAATGGCAAAATAGAGTGCTATTCTGAGCTTTCAATGCCAAGAAACATTGTAAATTGTGTTAAGGTCAAACATAACCTCTAAAATATTGATTAAGACTTGGAAATTGTTTTTTTGGAAAACTTTTTGTGCGATTTTGACTCTGAATTAGCAATTTTGAGTTCATATGCAAATGATAAAAGATGATTTGCTGAATCTTTAGAGATCTATTATGAGGTTATGGTCGGAGTGTTAGCAAAAAAAGCAGTTTTAAGTGTATTTAAGTGGCCTAGAAATTAAACCGCTGGACGTGTTCGAGCGTGGTGTACATATTTAAGGCACTTTATCTCCCCTTTGCTTGAAATAACATTCTGGCACCTCTGAAAATCATGACTATGACAGTGTCATCGTCGTGAGTCCTCAGCATTTCCGTGATTTCCCGGGCTCGCCGTAAAAGGCCCGAGGAATGGCCCAGAAGTGCTGGAATTGTGATTTGCCAATGACAGGGACCATCTGCAGAGGGGCTGTCGAGAGGCAGTGAATCGGGACGACAGGAGCTGTTATCGGTCGCCAGCTGAGTCAATTTGTGAGCGTCTCTCACTCTTCGGCATTCATGACGAAACCCCTTTTTCTTCACCAAACAATTCCACAAGAGCGAAAGATTTCGTGAAGAAAAAGGCGAGTCTCAATGCGTGTCAATTTGCTCCCACTTTATCGCTCATCTCGACGCCCGGTGCTCTGCAATAATGTTTAGAAATGTGTGCCCTACACTTTGTCTTTTATGGATTTCAGCTACACCTCCGCACACCACCCCGCACTCCCCCCGCTCCACGTGCTGCGGGCGCTCTCTCGGGGTGGTGGCGAAATGAAAATGGGGGAGAATTTTCGGGGGCGAAGATGCGTGTTATGATTTTGATACATATATAGAGGGCGAATATTGGCGAGGAGGTGCTGGAAAAGATGCTCCTCCAGCACTTTAGCGCTCCAGAAAATTTATTGGAATTTTCGTTTTTTTTATTTTATGAATTCTTCCCTCGCAACATTCCATGGATTCCCTTCCACTTCACTTTCATTGCGCCGCGCTCCCAAAACAATTCGCTTGGTGGAAATCAATTGATTTTACTGCCGTGCATTTATGGCTTTAATCGGCGCTGCTCAGGAGATTTAATGTCGCCCACTTGAGATGATTTCATCGAGTTCTCACAGACTGCCAAGAAGGGATTTTGCCAGTGAAAGCTGTCAAGGAGAGCTTGACATATTTCAAGAGATTGAGGAGTAATTTCGTGTGTATTCAGATAATCAATTAAATACAAAAAAAAAACTTCATTTCACCCAAATCGGTTTAGATGAACTTTAACTATTTGCGGTATTTTCTTTGCACACTTTTTCAATATTATGCAAATTAGTCATTCATCTCAACTCCGGTAAAAGCATCACTTCTCTGCATTTATTCATGAAAAAGTGACACATTTGAATTTCCATTCATATCAATTTATTCATTCAACAAAAAAAGAGTCACTCAGAAACTTCATCTACATATATTTAGATTGTGTGCAATGTCACAGTTGAAATGCTTTATGAGAGTTGAAATATTTCGCGACTGTCACATTCAATCAAGTCGCTGGGAAAGGGTGGGAAAGCTGCGATGTTCACTTCTTCCTTCAGAAATTCACTAATTTCCCCTGACTTTCTGTGTTTATGAGCAGAGATACACCTTTGACGATGAAGAATCCTTGTCAATGTGAGTGGATGGATTTGTCAGGTGCGGTGTTTTCATGGGCACAAAGCGACATTCTTCAGTGTTTTGTGGTGGAGATTGACGATGCCAATCGTCCCTTGAGGAATCGAATGTGCCAGAAAAAGCCTCTGAGTAATTTATCTGATGCCTCCCCAGCTCTAGAAGGCGATTAATTCTAACGCCACGTGGGTGGTCCCAGAGCCGGAACCGAGAGCCACCCAAATTCGATGGGGAAATCTTAGGCTTTTCCTCCGCAAGTCTTCTACAAATAAACAATTCACAGCATTTTGGAATGATTTCGCTCGCTTTTGTCGTCCAAATGGGAGAAACTGACATATTTCACTCAAGAAGGTGGCATCGACTTCTCTCATCGCCCATCATTATGGCCTGAATGTAAAATTATCGCGGCGCGAGGCTCATCTGTACTCCTTCCGGGTGAGGCGCTGACAGATGCACACGAAGAGGGCATGAATTCCGACAATTATTGCCATCTCACATCAACGGGTGAATCGAAAACTGTGAAAAGTCGATTTTTCATACTTCATGCGTCTCTTTATCTGTTTTACTACTGAAAATAATTTTAAATTTGTATTTTGTCGGGCAAAGATAAGAAATATGACACGACGATGTCAGGGAAAACCCTGTTTTTGCATCGTTTTTTTTATGTAGAACACAAAAATAAAGTAATTTTATTATGAAAAATTGATTTTATACAATATGTATGGATAGATTGCACTCAAAGCCTATTAAAAATTGACTTCTGGACACAATATTGTCTGTTTATTTATTATTTTTGGCATATTTCTGTCAAAATTCAAATAAATATCAGTAAAACTAACTAAAACATTCACAAAGCAATTATTATTTAGTAATAATATACACATTATCAAACAATTAGCAAATGTGTGAATTAAAATTCGGAAAAATTCACAGCGAAAGTGCCGTTTATTCTCCAATTTATTCTCCTAAAAAATGACAATTATGACTTTTCATAGTTTTCGATTCACCCGTCGATATTCATTGTACAAATCTGCAATGGATTTCCTCCTCTGGGTGATGGAAGATGGGATGTTCAGAAGAGAAAAACATGAGTTAAATTTAGAAACGAATATATTGATTGATTTCTCTTCTTCTGCAACCCCCGAAACACTCTTCTTCCCACATTTTCACCCATATTTCCTCGCCCCCCCCCACGGAGTCCCCGAAAAAGGCGAAACCCTTGAGAGGAAAACAGACAGAATTCAGAGCAATTTATCCAATTTCCGAATCTCTTTTCACATTCTTCATATCCATGCCGAAGCTCTGGCAGTGAATTCGCCTGCAGATGGTGTGGGGGCGAAGGGTTCCGAATGAGGGTGTCAAGGGGGTGAAATTTGAGCGATGAATGTATGGGAATAAATTTGACTTTCCGCCCACATTCTCATCTGTATTACAATAATTTTTATTTTCCCACCAACACACTCACTCGCCAAGGGAAAATATTTTCATAATTCACCCCCCATTCGCACGGGAGAAAGGCAATTTGCCACCCCACAGGTGTGAATCGATTGAAAATAGAGACTCTGCCACTGGAATATTGTTACCCGCGTCTCTCTAGAGTTACTCCTTTTGAAATGTGTACTTAAGTGAGAGACGCTGAATGGAGCTTTCTCGCTCAAGACGAGGAGTGTGGCTTCTTAGAGGAGAGAAATCGATTTGGCTCATCTTGCTGTGCACTTTCAAAAGCCTCAAATGTGAGGAATGTGGAAATTTAAAAGGGTATGGAAGTGTACAAAAAAAAACAACAAAGCAATAAAATAGATTTTAAGCTGCAGTCAAATTGATATACAAAAGATCGGAAATATCCTTGGAAATATCCTAGGCTTGACACTCAACATCTTCAAATCCAACTTGATCTGTGTTCTCTTCCTCCAATGTATGTGTAGAATTATTCGACTTTTAATTAGCGTTACATCGAATGCTCCTTTTCTGCTCCTTACAAGATTGCTCTCTGTCTTAATATGAATTCCAAGTCCTTTAGCGCATTACACCCCCCTTAATTATATAGCATCTTTTTACAGGGCATCCCCATCACGCTGTCCTCATAGTTGGTTTGCTTTCTAGTTTGCAAGAATGTAGCAAAATAGCTGTCTGGCGTAATTTAATGAGACTCACCCGTGTCTTTTTTTCTTCTTTCTTGCGCCCGGCAGTCTTGCGGTCGCACTCTAGCACGTTGAAGATGAAATGGCCGTAAAAAGTGCGATAGCAACGTTCCATTTAGCTGTCTGATGAGAGAGGTATAACGAAAAATTTGTAGCAATAACCCCACCTCCCCACTTTGCCACCCTTTCGCCGCCCCCATTCTTTGCGCCATCAATGCTTGCGGGTGCTTTTTCACCCAATTGAAGGTATTTTTGTACATCAACCACTTTGGCATTTTCGCCGGTGCCTTCATTTTCCCCGCGCCGCTGGAGGGAAATTTATGGAAATTTATTGCCTGAAATCCAGCCATGATAATGTTGAATGAAGAGTGCTCTTTGCCGCTGTTGAGGAAAAGAACTCGCGCTAAGTGGGGCCTTGTGTCCATTAATCAATGGACAAATTGGGGGGCTGTGCGAGAGCACGGCCAAGTCTGCGAGGCTCTGGTTTATTTGATGGCTGAGCAAATATTTGCCATGCTTGGCATTCATATGAAGAAATTCACGCGCAATAGAAAAAAAAGCTGTGAAAAATCGACACTATATAGATTTTTGGCAAAATAAACCCCTTTTCAGTCTTTGTTGCCGAGGCCATGAAAAAAAGGAACTCTGCACAAAAGCCACGAAAACCTCAAGAGGAATTGTCAGTATTGATTTTCCCCTTTCAGCCGCTACCATCGGAAAAGTCTCTGGAGGAAGCTTCGCCAAGCCACTGAAGAAATTCAATATAATGCTGAAGAGGAATATGGCAGCTAACCATAATTAAATACTTACAAAGTCGAAAGCACATCGTCATTCCAATTCGATAAAATCCCACTCACATGTTAAGCCCATATTCTGGTTAAATAAGACTTTAATTATCAAATCCTTAAGCAGGGATTACGTGTAAATCCTCCTTTAGGAAATAATACCACTTCTTTTCATCAACGACGATGGAGGGGATTCGCAATTTACTCAACTGCACAGCACACTTTCAGGCTTTTCCCAGGCAGCATTTTTCCACACGACTCTCCCAAGTCGTGAGGAGGTGGAAAAGGGGTGATTAGGCTTGGGGAAATTTCAGAGAAAGCAAGGAAAAGATTGTGGAAATTTTAGCGAATATTTCAAGTCAAATATTTCAAATCATGTGAAGAAGAACCTCAAGTATTGGGCGTTTCTTGAAATTCTTCAGCATCTTGATAATTTCAAGTGATTCTCTGGCACTTCTTCACCCTCTCTGCGGTGCTCATGTTGATCCAAAGGACTCAGGATGTGTCTAGTGAGTCGTACAAATCGCGGTCTCTCCCTCATGAGTTCGGTCTTTGGAAATGAGATCAATTTTTGTGTGACTCCCTCGCGTACAACATATGGCGAGTGAATCATCTTCATTGGCTGCCAAGCTCACCCATTAATACGTGTTGATCCCGAGGGAGGAGTATTAAGTTTGGTGTCTCTCCAGCTTCATCATGGAAATAAATGTCCAATTTCTCACCCACGCAATTTCACTCTCATGACATCGTGTATTAGATGGCAAGAGAAGAAGGGAGTTAGGGAAAATCCCCCAGGGTGGAATGATGAAAGCGATTCCATTTTTCTCAGCGTCTCGCTGGACTCTCAATTTCTCGTTACAGTAATTTAATTCCACCTACGAGCAATGTTTTAATCTTTAACCCTTATATAACGAGACAAGACTCCAGGGATTGTCTCTCTGGCTATGCGATGACTTCTTTCTCCAGCGATATGACGACTCATTGCCATTGCCAGACATGCAGATTGCCGAAGGGGTGGGACGACACCCCTACCTTCTCAATGAACTGTGCGCGCAGTGTGTATTCAGGGATTACGTCCACGGAGGGGTTGCAATTTATCCCACACATACACTTTTCAATGAGACTCCTCGACGGTTTGTTTGGCTAAGCAGGTCCCTGGCAAACACTCGAAAAAGTATAACAATGAAGAGTTGGATAAATATCAATTGAAATCTCCGTCGGTCGCTGACTAAGAGCTGACCTAGAAGGTTCTTTGTGTGTTTGTGAAAATGGTTTTGCTGACAATCACACAATATTGAATACATCATCAACCCTTTAGCATCATGATAGACAAAAATTTATCAAGTGAATATCGTTGATGTTTCGTTGAAAACTTCATAGATTTCTAGTTTCTCAATAATTCAAAATTTCTATAAATTTATAGACATTCTTTGGGCTTCAAGTGCGTGTTTTTATGGTTTACACACAATCAAGAAATTCTCATTTTCTCAGCTTCCGCTAAACCGCAATGATTTTACCACTCAAATTGTTGAATGCTTGAAAATTTCTCGCACTAATCGTTAAAATCGCCTCTGTGTGCACATGAAGTTATGATATGAGGAAAGCGCATGTCTCTGGTCATAAATCACAAATGAATTATCAGCAATTGTCTTCACAAGAGTCACGATTGCTCATCGCTATTTAATGCTGCAAATCCATCAATAATTTACGAGCCATCTCAGAGGCAATATGCCACTTTACAGCGCACAATGAGGCTCTGCCCTTTTAATGATGCTCCTAATTATTGCTTTCAGCCACCAATCCTTGTCCGTGGACGTGTCCAGCGACGCTGCAATTGACATTAATGACGGGAAATTTCAGCATGAATCTCGGTGGTGCATTTGTAATCGCGCAAAATTCACAATTTGCCCAGTCATTTGGAAAGTTGATGTTTTTTGGGGACATTTTATTGCATTGTACGATAATGCGTGGGTGCACTTTTTTCGCGGGAAATTTTTTCCACCCAAAATTGATGTATTTTGGGGCTATTTTTCTCTCACTGTAATCCTATTAAATGTTTTTTTTTCCCCTTGGCCATTTTCATGCCTCAGCGTTTGGCAGGTTAAATTACTGACAAAAAATAAAACAAAAAAACATTATTCCGCGTATGGAGTGAGATTTCCATAGCGAGGAAAATTCATTGGACAAAAGGGACAAAAGCCCTAAAGTATTGATGGAGTGAGGAATTATTTGTGAATGAGATTAAATGGGACTTAATCGATTCTTGTGAGATTTGCCACCCATCCAATTTCTCGTGTTATCCCTCGTTCCTGCTCGGGATTAGGTGTGATAGAATGTCAATAATTAATATTGATACATTGCGGGGCTTGTGTGCGGGAAATGATTTGAAAATCCCGCTCCGGCAGCGTGAAATCGATGGCTTGCCGGGCCTTATCAACTGACTCACTATGGCTCATTTAATGATCTGCGGCACGATACCCTCGCAAAAGCACCCCCAGTTCTCATTATGCCGATGTCCAGTTGCACCCTCGCCACTGAGGGTGCATAAATCTCCTCGTGGCAGCGTGAAAAAGAGTTGACGTGCGTCCAGAAACCCGGGAATCAAAGGGAAGATCTGGCTGTCGGACTAGATTAGATACAATTGAGTGTTACGCATTTATCAGGCTTTTTAATGCGTGCGCGAGGGGAGGAAAAAAACGGTCGGATGAGAATTTTATCCATTTTATCTGGCAAAATTTAAGATTCATGTCTACCCATGCCAATTTGAGCAACTTGCGACAAATTCAATTACTTGAGCTTTGATTTCCATTTGCTGCTGACGCCAGTTTTTGGTTCGTCAACATTCACCTCACGTTCATGGCAAAATGTTGTATCTTGGCCGAAATATCCTGGATGGATTTGTCGCAGGAGAAATGGTTTAATTAGTGGCAATTGATGTCTTGTGAGGGACTGTAGGAAGTTGTCTGTTGAAATTTCATTTGTTGCCACAGCAACGCCAAAGGCGGATGAATTGTTGGTGTGGAATTGTGTAAAGTCAATTTTCTAATTAACGTATTAAACAATTTCGTCCTCGTCTAATCTCCAGTGGTCCTGAGTGGTCCGGGAGGTGTGGAGTGAATTGGATAGAAAGGATTTCTTAAATACCATTTTGTCCTCCAGCACGAAGTTATTCCATCTGTGCCGATCGATGCTCCCAATAGCCCTGAAATGTTTCAACGTCATCGATTTCCCACGGGATAGAACCACACTCTTCCCGAATAATGTACGAAACTACCCAGTGTGAGAAGCGAGAACATTGCTCTCGGCCTGAGTTGAGACGAGCGCAGATTTGAGTTTCGATTTTGCCACTTATTCAGAGGCTCTATTTCGTTGATTTTGGACTGTTTCTGCTCACAATTTGCTTAAAGGAACTCAAATTATGTGCATTTACTAAATATTGTAAATTTAGAGCCACAATCAAGGCCAAAATCGAAAACTCTTACCGGTTTTAGCACGTTTAATGACATTTCTACATCTGGAAAGTTTATAACTTCTACAACTCAACTCTGAACCTCTGTTAAGCACGATTCTGACTGTGCCATGAATCTCCAAATCCACTTTATATTAAGGAGGGTGAAATGTATATAGCATAGTGTTTAGGTGATTATTATCCGTCCGCCCTTCTTGGTTTTCTTTGAGGTGAAATTTTGAGCATCTCTCTCCGAGCTGGGTCGTCTCTCAAGGGGCCCCGCAACTCTTCCATATCGCACACACCTTCTTCATCTCCCGCCGAGAAGTGGGTCAGAATAAAATTGTTTAAGACGAAAAGGGAGTCCGTGTCAAAGTTCACCCCTTATCGCAACATCCTCGAGATTAATCCTTTAATTATTTCTCACATAAGCAACTACAGCGAACACCTCGGCATGGAATTATCCAGGCAGAAGCAGAAATATGTAATCTCTTATCTCCCTTAAGTGCCACTGCAACTTTTATCTTGCGCATTATTTTTTTTCCACCCCACGCTTTTTCCTTTTCCCCCTTTCTTCTCCACCCGACCAACTCAACTTTCGCTCAAGTGGCGGGCGAATCTTTTGCATATAGTCAAAACTTTTTTTTCTTCATACTTTATGCTCCAAACGTTATCTGATATCGCGCGCACACAAAGTTTTCTCGTCAATTCCCAAGTGAAAGGGAGGGGGGAGGGCGCAACTTTATCTCGCTCAGAAACTATGATGAAAAATTTCCTGCGATTGTAGATGGAGATTTTAATTTAAGATGAAAATTCAGCTTCTGGCAGATAAATTTCTGATTACATTTGCACACTAATTCCAGCTCACAATTTTCCATGTCCAACGAATCTTGCCTATATAT